CCCACCAAATATCTCTTTCCTTCAACTTTTATTTGGCACCAAACAGCATCAACTTCGTCTACGTTAAGGTCATAGACCAACTCTGGATGTAGTGAAGGATCAATGACGAGCGCTACCCCAGCTGTCCCTTTATTTATGTCCCCAGCTTTATGAAATACCTTTTTATGAAGGAAACTTCCGTCTGATTGAGTCCAAGAGCTTGTTTCTTGAACCGCCATCAAGAGTATCTCATTTTCGTAGATAAACTTGTCAAGTGTCATCTCAGAGTTAGTTGACATCTTTGCTATATTTATTTGGCCAAAGATCATAATCTACTGTTGGGTTGTGTGGGTGATTTTGAACATTTGTTTGGTTGCATGTTGAGTTTCATGACAATATTTTGGTATGTTGAACAATCTCTGTTTGTAGCTACATGGCCAAAGACATCACAATTAATACAGTAGTCTCTTCGGTTACTCTTGCATTGATTGGAGTGGTGATTGTCTCCACATTTGCTACATGTTGCATGGTTTTGGGTACAAAGTTTAGCAACATGGCCAAACCTGTAACAATTGTAGCATTGGATGATTCTCCTTCTCGGCTTATACTCTTCCGCAGTATAAATTACCTGTCCGAGCTTTAACCCATTTCCTAAGCATTTCTCATAGTCTTCCTTAGTCTGAAAGTTGATCTTAAGAGTTTTCAGAGAAATGTTGTCCCGTGTCACAAATCTTTTTGCCCTAGCTCCTGGATAACACCTTTCCACAGAAATTGTTAGATCACTATCCTGAATGTTTGTGGGTACTCCTTTGAGAATGACTGCCCAGCTTAGCTTTTCTAAGATCCTGCATTCTGTAGTCATGTTACTGTTTGCAAAGAAATCACCTTTCCATGATTCTTCTACTCTTATTGCATCTTCTTTAGATGTGAGCTCAATCATCAATGATCCACCTTTGGTGACAAATGTCGATTTTATGGCCATATCTTTAAAATATTTATTGAAGTTTCTCTTAATAGTTGCACTGTTTTTAAGATAATTTCTTGAGAGTCCTCTTGAGACTAGGACTGTCATGGAGTCATTAACAGTGGTTTCTGATGGCTGGTGAATGTAGTATTGTTTGCCCTCATATGTTTTATCTTCTGCTATGGTACTGAAAAGATCCAGGTTTGTGTGTCTTGTAGAAACACCTTGATGTCCAATTGCAGTTCTCTTGAACTCTACTCTGTTCATCTCTTTTAGGATGCTTTTATTTTCCTCCGTTATGTTATGCAGTGTGCGAAGTGCTTCATCCATACCACTGTCGGCTTGTGGGACTGAGGATACTTTGTTAATCAAGGGAAACCCCTTAGCTAACAAATTTCCCATATTCTCCGTTAAATTCGTCTTTAGATATTCAAAGTGTTTCGTTTCACTCTCTCGAAAGTCTTTCATTTCAGCCTTCATTTGGGACATAGATCTTTCGATAGAGCAGATTGCAGAGTGTTGCGATGCTAATACATCAACTTGGTCACTCAGAGTTCTGTTGATGTGGATATTTTGTTCTGAACTACTGATATTTGAGTACAATGTCAATGGGTCAACCATCTCTTTACTACAAACTAGCATATCTTGTGAGTCTACCTGAATATTTTTCTTTTTTCCCCCATCTCTTCTTTCAGGTGTTGAGGTTCGGATTGGACAACAAACTGGAGGATTGAGGTCTGGTGTTTTGATTATAGAGTCTTCTAGATGTGTATTGGACTCAATGGATCTCAAGGACAGACTGCTGCTGAAATTTCTGTCAGATTTGCTGCACAAGATAGAGAGGTTATCATATGTATCTGAAGCTGACAGATCTGAGATGTGTTCAGTTGGGGCCGAGTCATCTATGGAGGCGCTATCAGACAGCTGTTTATAGGGGTGAATTGTTGTTTGCGTGTCCACATCGTTTCTCATTACAGTTGTGTACTCCCCATCTTTTTTGGTTAACTCTGCGATTTTAGCTTTAACTTTTACGGTGGCTAGATCCAGAATGTGGTTTAGTAGGCTTGGAGAGTCGCATGAATTACAAAGCCAATGCAAATTCTCAATTTTGCATATATTTCTATATGTGGAGTCTGCCATTGGCTTCTTTCTAGTTTCACCAGATCTTTTGGTTGTTGTTGTTGTTGTTGTTGTTTGTGAATCATAACATTTGTAGTGTACTTTCAGTTCACAGTATCCGCATGTGAGCAACTCCTGTTTGCATTCATTCTGGCAATGGCAGCATATCATCCCAGAGTCCTCTTGGATAACATGCAAGTCTTTCTTTAATATGGACGGAACAAGTGAAAAGTCTGATTCAAGATCGATCTGAAATGTGCTCGGTGTGTTCACAGATGTAGGACTTTTCGTTATGAGTTTCTGATTTCCCACTTTGTTATTGGGTCCTGATTTTTGATTTGCAGAGTTATGTAAGGATATTTTGAGATGTGTCTTTAAAGGGGTATGAGGTGGTGATTGCATCTTTGTGAATAGAGTCTTGACTTGAGAGACATACTCCTTGTTCTCGGCAAACTTGATACAGGACCAGGAACAATCCAAGGGAGTTTTCATAGAAAATGCAAAGAGTGCATAGTCAAAGTTACTAGGTGCTCCAAACTGCTGTTTGAATTCTGTACCAGACTTGAGTTTGGTTGCCAGCCAGGTGTGGGGGTAAGAAAGTGCTCTTACTTTTGTATCAACAATGTTTTCAAGTCGTTCTTGGCCAACTGCAATCATCTGTGGGAGTGTTAAGGCCCACCATGGGACATCTGCTACATCGTGTAGTTTTTCTCCTATGTGCATCTGGTATAGCACTTTCTTTTTGTCTTCAAAGCTTAATGTTTTGCCAGAGTATGCAAAAACAATATCTTTAGGCAGGGAAATTTGGTGAGCAGTATCTGAAAGTTCAACAAAGGAGCAAAGAAAGTTTGACTGCCCATCAAAGCAAAATAAAACTTCTAAACTTGGACTCAATAGTTGAAGCTGTTTGTATATGTGACTTGTTTTTATACAGTTTGTGAGCATCTTTTTGTTTGAGGCTGACACAACAACTGAGTCTGTAGTCTCTAATAGATTACAATACAAACTTTCGAATTGGTTGTTTTTTGCAGTGTCAACTGTTGCAATTGACACAACCTTTGGTTTGTTAGGTTTCAGTTTATTAAACATCTTTGTGTGCCGTCACAAGAAACCAAACCAAGTAGAATTGTTACAGCTCAGAGCTTTTGTAAAACTAGCTTTAACTGTCACAATTCTATGATATCTGACTTGATTAATGTCTAGTCAGAGTAATGGGGTGTTAAGCTTTACTGAACTAGCTTAACTTTCCAGAAAGAGCTTTAAAAACGAGCTCTTGAAACAGGCAACACTTGGCTAAACTTTACTATAACTAGTTTTGCTAAGTGATTGTCCTTGTTAATGTCTATACACTGTTCGTTGTCAAACTGAATTCCAAATGTTTCCGAATTGATTAACAGTTTACAGTTTACAGTACCAAGTAGTAGAAAGTAGCTATTTTGTTCTCTTTGGACGTAGTCTGATTGTCTTTGCAGCCTTTGCTTTGTGCTTCGTTTAGAGATCGATTTCCCAACACCTGAAAGGATATGGGCACCAGAAAAGTGTGATAGGGATTGCCAGCAGTGCTGACAAAAGAGCTTTTCTGAGTTTAGATGAATGACAATTAATCTCAGCTGTGAAACTCACCGTTTAGGTATGAGTTGGGGTGGTTGCTGAGATGAGTGAGTGAGGAACACGAAAACTATTGTGTATTCTGCCAAACTTCAGTCATGCAACATACAACAATCTGCAATTGTTGTTACATTCTATTGAGGTGTGATGTCCCACTAGGGGTCCTCAATAAATGTATTTAATTGTAGTTGTGAAAATAGTTTAATTATTGGAAACCACTATATTTTCAAAATTGAAGATGCTGTATTGATCTTCAACAAAGCATAAGTTAAAAGCTGTAGTAGTGAGTGATGAGGTCGGTAGATTCATGCAACCAGTTCTCAGTCCATCACTGCCATATCATCGGCATAGCAGTGAAAAAACAGCCCGTGACTAATTTTCTTGTTAACCTCAGCTAAAAAGGCTATAATAAAGTTCAGACAAATTAATAATGGGAGGACCCTGTATGTCTTTCTTGCCAGTGCCCAAGTTAACTAAGGAAAACAAAATTTTTAAGTAAAACAAAATTTAAATTTTATTGCCATTACAATGAATAATTATATCATAATAAATATACGTAGACATCCGATAATAAACTTGTTACATCCAGTACAACCCAAGATGTCGGACGACTAACAAAATTAAAAAAAAAAAGCTTGCATGTTCATAGTTTTTCTAACGAGCATACTTAGGCTGTACGGAAATAGCTTTAATTCTACGTAATATTAAAAACTTTACATCATTTTTGCGATACAAAAATAAATTTTAAAATAAATAAATAACTCTTTTGCTGCTTAGGCAGCAATCCAATATGTAATCCAATATGTCAGTTCGACCCTAACAGCAGACACGAACAGACCCGTCAAAAAATGCCTGAAAGATTCTGATATACTTCTTAGAAAGCCCAAAGTGTGTATAATGTTCGCCCATATATAAACTCTCTTCTGATCAAATCAAATGCAACCTTGAAATCACTGAAGTTAATATATAACTTCTAAATAATTGTCCAAGGAACCACTGTACCAAACATTAAGACTAGAGAGTGGCTGGATTACTCAACTAAGGAATCGAAAGGTCAAAAAAAAGCTAGAGCTGTTTAAAGTTCTAGTTTTGCTAGTGACCTCTTATTTTGGTGAGATATCTCAGGAACACAAGGTCAAATTTTTATCGGTTTTTTTCTTCTCGTTTGACTCCGTTTTTACATGGAGTTTTGCTTTTCAAATCATGTAACTGTTTTAAATGCTGAAGTATTATCACTGAATTATGATCATTATATATCTGAAGTATTATTAAATATCTGCAATAAGTTTAAAGTTAACAAAATTTGTCATTTTACAGCTTACACACCAGGTATGATGTGATATCATCGAATGTGCCATTATTCTATGGACTTAACAGGTGAGTGACAATGTTAAATGTTATATACAATAAAATGTCCGTTAAATACACATTGCTCCTTAGTTTATGACTGATTACCATAAAATTAAACCCAGCAATTGCACTATCAATCGCTATTTTTTCGTTTTTAAGGAATAAAATGACGTGATAGTAATCTATATTATATTTTAAACCTGACGAAATCTTCCAGGCAACAGTGACATAGACAAAAACACTGAAAATATACCAAAAAATGACCCCTTCGTTTTGACCAATTTCCGCTCGCAAATGGAGTTAAAAACTCATGAGTTTTACCAAGGTTGCGGAAAAATAAAATGCGCCTGTTATATCATTCTTAGAATTTTGATTTAGGCTTTATATTTTTTATAATTAACATCAGAAGAGAGGAATAATTAGCGACAGAATAATGGCGGAATTTCTTCACAGTTTAACTGCAAGAAAATTCATGCGCGATGAACCACAGATTAGCAGCGCATTTTCATGCATTATGATACGTCATGACTAGCTCAAATTTACACTCATGCTATGACTATTCATAACTTTGGTTGTGATTGATATTTTTGATGCAATAAAAAGTATCGTTTAGGGAATCCGAATACTTAAAATGTTGTCGTCATTGTCAAATAAAACCAATTCTTTCTACAGTACCAAGCTGGATGATGAAAAGAAATTAAAACAAAGCTGATTTAAAAAATTTCCTCTAACAAAGCTTTCGACTCTAGTAGCGGGTTTCTAGTTTTTCATATAGGTGTTTAAAAAAAAGATTGCTGTATCTATGCAATACGTTTTTACAGGAATGTTGATAATAAAAGCAAGACTCGGTGACGAGTTTAGAAGGGTGCCAATCCACAACGAGGACATTACTTACGATGAACTTCTGCTCATGTTGCAAAGGCTGTTCCCAAAGTGTTTGTCACCTACCGATGATGTTTTACTAAAATACAAGGATGAAGGTAAGGTTTGTTTGGATGATGTATGTTTGTTGAAACATTCGTTGAGTCACCCAAGTCATTCAGAAGTTTGGATTTGTGATAAAATTTAACAACAATGTCATATCGTGTTTTTACTATGCAACTAAATGGCTTAAACATATTATCTTTTAAATAAGATAATTATCTTCATCTTCAGACGGTGATTTGATATCAATTGCTGATGGATCTGATTTAATGTACGCTAAAGCGTACAGTAGAACTTTATCTCTTACAATATTTGGTAAGAAATTTAAGCTTTAAGTTTTAATACTACTAGCTGTCAGACAATTCAGAAACGATGAATTTATCATTAATGAACTGAAATCGTTGTTGAGGAATGAATTACTGAATGCCTTAATTATTTATCACTCAGGAGTATCTAAGTCACAAACTCTAAAATCGTTGAATAAATGGTGAAAAATTCTTGGTACAACTAACTTACAATCTTTGTGTTTTAATATAAAATATCATCAATCTGTCTCGCCAATCCAATAAAAAACGACCATTTTTATCAGTGAAAGGAAGAGATATTCCGGCTGTAGACATATCTACGGTACGAGCCATGCGAACAGAGTTGGTTTCACTCCGAGACAGAATAAACCGAATACTCGATAAGTTGGAGGATACATATCCTGAGCCACCTAAACCCACTACTCCTCAGATTACCGAAACCGTTGAAGGTATTAAGTTTTGTGGATTCGTTAGTAAACGTTATATAGGTAATATTGAAACTTGATTTTTAAGAATTGAGAGTCAGATATCCAGAAAAATTATTGAAAAACATAAACGAAATTATAGTATCGTGCTTCAAAACATCCAAAAAATTTACCAAAATAATGTGGTAGTTTTTAGTTGAAAAATGATATCTCAAGAAATTCAATAATTTTTCACGAATCCCCCCTTGCCCCCTTTAATTGAAATGCTGAACAAATTAATACTACAATTCAATATAATAATGTCGTTCATGATAATATCAAATATGTTAATATCATGGAACTTGCAAAACTAGTAAAACTAGCTTTCAGAGTTTGATCCCGTTAAATTGCATAACTTAACATCTACAGTACTTTGAAAACAAAAATCATACTCCAACAAAATTAATATAGCTTTTTTTACATTTTGTATTATAAGGTAGTAACGGTAAGGCTGCTTTAAACATTCAAATTATTAAAAGTTATTTTTAGTCTAATTCATTATTTCATAATAATTATTTCAGAACTGCTCTTAAAATAACACTCTCACGGCAGATCATATTCCTATATATACCAAGAAACTCGTAATAAAATAAATAAAATAAAATAAATAAATAAATAAATAAATAAATAATAATATATTTTAAGAAGTTAAGAGCACTAGTGTTGGATCACAGGATTGAGTTTTTATAGTACCAAAAGTAAATAAATCTTACACAAAGACTGCCACATTATATCATACCACGTTCAAGATTGTTCAAAGCTCTAGTTAACGGATAAAGTCCTTCTAAACTTTTAAACACCTTTTAATATAAAGAGGGGTAGAGTTGTAGACCGGGTTGTACGAACACGAGTGTTGGGGTTTCTTGCTGAGACGAGATGACATTGTTGCTATCACAACAGCAAGAGATAGACACGTTGATGAAGTGGGCTACCACCGATACTCCGTGAAGGACTATGTTAACGAGCCACTCGACTGGGACCGGGTCATCGAAAAGAAACGGCCAGATTAGAAATGCGCAGAAGCCCAGTGAGATTATTGCTGTAAATAAGGTGCATTATAAGACGAAGACTGAAGAGCTCACAAAAAATCATTCGGTCACAAAATAATAATAAGTTTTTTATCAGTTGATTGAAATATAACATGATGTAATTCTCCCCCTTCCTCACCTCCCCTCAACTTACTTGATATGACTCCTAAGATGATCATTAATGTCCTCATTCTCACTGAAAGTAATATTGTATGGAGAGTTACATAAAAAATGGCAAAATTATCTATCATAATTTACGGCATTCTTTAAAAAACCATAATATGTATATTAATTGACTAATGATTATTTAAAGTATCCAGACTTAATCGTATGTCAGTAAAATATTACACTTAATTCATATTTCAAAGACTGCACTTTATAAAATTTAAAAATAACCTTACCGCGGTCTTTTTTAATTTGATATATTCTCATCCCTGTCATAGTTCCCGCTAGAGCTGTAGGTGCCAACAGAACCAACAGCATTATCAATATATATATAGCTGTAAAAGTAAATGATTTTTTAGATTGGCGTTTGGCATGTATCACTAACATTCTCTGGATAAGAAGTTTTTTTTGAACATTTCTAGCAATATTTATATTTTGTAGTGAAAATCTCGTAAATTATATGTAAATAATTTGCGCTTACACTTACAACCAATTGTCGGGCCAATCCATATAGCATTGTAAACTATCATAACCAAATGAGCCAATGTTGCTATGCCGGCACAACAAGCTCCTACCCAAGGGGAAACAGACCGAGCATCACCACTCATTCTACAGCAGAGTCTATTCTGAGAATATTGTGTCAAATGGTCTATAATATAAACCAATTTTAAAACAACGATCAGATTAAATGTAGGCTCAACTCTCCCGAGAATTGTAGCGAAGGTGAGAAGCTTGACTAGAAAACTCAAACGGAAACCAGAAAATTTGATTGAAAATGATTGAGAGTTAGCACTCTAGCATAAACATAGCATATTTATAGATCTATAATCGAAAATCAAAAGCTTACTTTTACTTTTGATATCGAGTATAAGCGTCCATAGTGACCTCATCATAACGCACGTGCTAATGAATTGTTGATTCAAGTCGGAGACTGGAGTAGTCAGAACATTTGGCGTTGGTTTTGCTTTTAATTTTACTTGATCGAATTTTAACAATTTAACGTAATTATTCACAAACGAATCGTGGTTTTCTGCATACAATCTTGCGTCATTGAATAATGTTAACAAGTAAACAAGCATGACAAATGTTACTTTAACAAAGGATGTCACGTGATAAGTAGTCACGTGATAAGCTGGGTAAGCTCTTTACCTTGTTTAACTTTCACACCTCATATTCCTGAGCCACACAAAAAGAAGAAAATCGGGCAAACAAATATATGAACTGGAACAAAATGAACAAAAAAGGTTCACAGTTAGAAAGTCGAGACATTTGTAAAGCAAGATATCATATTATATCATATACAATTTTCTACTCTATTAACTTATCTCTATTATAATTCAAAAGATTCTTTCTGCTGTACGACCGCCCACGTGCAAATCAGACGATAAATAGGAAGTTGCGTAGTTACCATGGTAACGAGGGTTAAAAGTGCACTTGCAAGTTGCACGTGCAAGGATTTGAGAGGGGCATTTTGATCGGTTTTTTGTTATTACGTGGTGTTCAGTGCGAGTTATAGTTTAATTGGCTGTTTCTTCGGTTGTGATGGATATTTGTTGGTGCTGTAAAAACTGACTACGAAAGAATACTATTAGCTTCCTCCCTGTGACCACGGGCTTTCTAGTATTATTATAATACTAGTGTAACCCGTGCCTACGGCCGGGACTTCACTATCGCAGTTGAAATGCAAATGTATAAACCCGCATATTATATTTGAAAACACACATAGCATTGTCGTATGAAAGTATAAACCTCTCTACAGTCCAATCATACCGCAATGAGTGCCCCCTCCCCTAATAAGCTTACAGTATTGCATGACAGTGAATATCGAGGCTAACCTAATTATGATGTACCGAAAAAAACCAGTCCCGTAACTCGGAATACAAAAGCTTCATTTTGCTTTTGATATTGAAGGTTAGAGTGACAAACGACTTAATTGTGAAGCATATTTAACGAATAAATTATCTACATTCCACACCGGAGTAACCAGAAGACTTAAACTTGGCGTAGGTCCAAATACTCGTTAGGATCATTTCTACAGTATGTGCCCCACCTTAGTCTTATAAAGACAACTGAAACTACAAAACTTCCTAACAATCTTTCTTTCGTGAGGTCGTCATTTTGTGTCCCACTGGTTATTTCAAAATTATACGAAAAGTAGATTTTGGCCGGACTTCACCCAATATGAGTAATATGAAAAACAAGAAATTAAACCTGTTATTAAGTGACCTAATTATGTAACCTAATTACTTAATTACCTAATCATCCCGACAGTGAAGAAGCCGGTTGTAGCAGCAGTAAAGCACGACCCAGCCACGACGGCAGAGTTTGATCCTCTGAACAGCAGTGGCAGGGCTCCCAACAAGCAGGAAGTTAAACCCAGCCAATCTGCAGCCAGTTCCCTTTCAAGCGGGGTAATAATCATATTAATAAATTAATTAATTATAGTAACCTATGGTATTTATCCATTTGAAAAAAGTTATTGTTAGCTGAGGTTAATTTTTCCGTTCGAATCCCGGCTAATTTAAAAATGTTGTCGTCACAGTCCACAGAAGATGATTAAGATAATATTACAATTTACATCGATCTTTAAAAAACTTATCTGTTTTATAAAATAACACAAATCTATTTTTAGAGCAGTGCAACATTCCAAATGAAAAACGGAGGTCGCAGTGAGTACGACATGACCAAGCAGACTGTGACAGTAACACCCAGCCCCCAACAAGGACCCTCCTCCCGCACTGAGCCAGAACCTGTCACACCAACTCAAAGTGTGAGCAGTCAGCAGCAGAGTGTGAGCAGCCAGCCGTCCCAGCCGTCCCAGCCGAGTGTTGCACCAAATCAGCAGACTCCACCCAGCCAGCCTGCAAGTAATCCTAATTCGCCCCACCCAACTGCTTCGGTTAGTTTTCGTTCTTGTTGTAGCGATATTCCGAATAATTGAAGAAAAAGTTTAAAAAGTGAAGATTACATTAATTTTAACTAATGCTCTGCGGAAGGATAATTAGTCATAAAGCTCGTATCTAGCACGTGTAGTAACTAGGGTGATTAGTCCCAATTAGTGGTATCTAGTGGTGATTAAAGTGGTGATTAGCGTTGCTAGTACTAGATCAAACTCACAGGTCACCGCCACTAGTGTACATTACCAACATTACAGACCTGGCCAGTTACAGGTAGATTGCTAACGTCCGTTAATTATCTCCCAATTATCAACCCATTAAATAATAAGTATGTCACAATATCTTGTTCCACTGAGAGGTATTATATATATGCTAGCTGTTTACCACCCGGCTAATCACGCTGCATGTTTCGCTTGAATAATCATAGTTCAGTTAAATATTCATGATTTGAAGATACTACTGTATCCGTTAGGTCAGTGGAGGTACAGCTGCGCCCAACATGCAGGGAGGTGCAATGCAGCCCCCAACTCAGCAGCAGCCCCCAACTCAGCAACATTTTCAGCACTACCCTCCCCAACACGCGGTTTGTCTCCAGTTTATTTCTATTAGCGGACCATTAGCTTACTGTTTGTTTATGATTCAAGCTCTTTTTATTGGGGTGAAGTTTTACTGTGCTGAGAATGTTTGAGTTAGTTTACTCTAGTAGCAGTGTGTAGTTGTGCAATTTGTTTTGCTAACTTTCTAACAGGGCAACATTTCTAAATATTCATCAGGCGCAAATTTTGAAAATTTGTATCTTGGTCTCTGAGCGTCGTAGACTCGAATTTTCACTTAAAATAGCCGCAATTCAAAGGCCACGTTTATATCAACTTTTGAAGCAACATAATAGAGTGGTGCTTCGTTTTTAAGATGTTCACAGAAAATCCATTTTTGGCTCAATGTAGCCCCGGGTCTTCGTAAAGTGTAATTGCCACCAGAACACGTTAGTAGATAAGGAGACTTGTTATGGAGCATGAATTTTGGTGGGAAGATTTAAAAAAATGAAGTTGTGAAGCAGAAAACCTGAATCAAGACAACCCACTACAAACAAAAGATCGAACAGGGACTGTCTATGTAAGGTTTGTAAGCGTGGTCAGAAGGAACACAAAGCAAAGCACCAACACGTTAGAACAATCATAACAACTGAATAATAGAATGAACGGGTTGATACGGGATAATAGTTAGAACTACTCAATGTTGTATTTCGATGAATATGTTCTTGCGAATTCGAACCAACGTAGCATCGGAAGAGGAACACGATTAACTCTCACATGATACTATTGAGTTTTGCAATTGCAAATACCAGACCTGTTTATTTCGGGATTGTAAGACTGAGTTGGGGAATGCTGTTTGCACTCAAGTATTGATTTTACTTTACCGGGCCGTTGTCCTCCGCGGAATGGTTTAGTTGTTCGTACAAGTGACATACTACAACTTCGGCAACCTGACTACTTTACATCACCATAAAATTGGCAAATTGCCGGGTGTTAAATCTTTTACTGAAACCCAAAAATTAGTAGAATTGACTGTTGCTTCGTTTTAAGTGGTATAGAATCAATTTAAATTAATTTACAAATTTGTGCCTGAGGGGTATCTAGAAATTTTGCCCTGTAGGGTTAGGACTAGCGACAAAAATTGCGTACCTAAACGAAGGACCCTGCCTGTGTGATCAAAAAGTCTGCACATTGAAGTACATTCTCAACTACAAATGTTTACTGTTAAGAAGCAAAATGAATAAGCGTTCGAGATGCTACAGTAGATTTTGACTTTTCGTCATGAGTGAAATGAGAGAGTAACATTATACTGCATGTGTGTTATGTGTGGCATGTTAGATCGATGATTTCGGTGAATGAGACACAAATATCATACCTCGTATAATTATATAGCGCACTTATAATTATATTATAGAAAACTACCACTATCTCAGATGAGGTTTAAATTGGCAAAATGTTTACCTAAAATGCGCGTATTTAGGAGTTGACCGCACTCCATGGATCATCAGCCGGGTAAGATCCGCGGCAGTGGGACCCTTCTTTCTGTGAGATCCTGTTACTTCACAGGATCGAACAGAGAAAAGGGCTGGCACGAAGAACAGATAGTGAAACTATTTGTTCCCCCCACTGAGGCGCAAGCAAGGGTTGTTGCCTGGCCTTTTTAAAATCCAAGTCGTGGTTGCTAAAATCCTGATAAAATCGTGATAGTAGCTGCTAAAATGATAAAATCGTAGTCTACTAAAACGCAGACACAGTGCTGGTTCTTTGTACGTCACCTCAGATGACAGGATGAGAACCGATAAATCGGAGGCTCATGCTTTGAGCAGCGATCGGTTTCACTTCAATAATGAAGGGCAGTGAAACCGACTGCATTGGGACGACCTTAGCAGATTGCAACTCATTTGTTTGAGTGCTGGTGTCTGCTGTCTGCGGATTTTCCTCAGGTGCGGTCGCGGCGTCCGCCACCACGATTCTTTTGGGCATTCTTTTCTCTGCTGCCCTTTCCATTGTGCTGATTTTATTATCAAGGTACTCCGCGAACTCATCGTTCGCCAAATTGCTGGTCAGTTCGTAACTGGCCATTCGGCTTTCAATGTCCTCGAGAGCAGTGTCCTGGAACGTGCCCAGCAAACTCCAATCATGCCGCCTAGAGTGACAGCTAGTAGTAAGGCAAAGCTTACCAAGAGTAGGATCTCTTCGATGATCATATCTTCTTTGGACGTCGAAGAAGGCTTTGTATATAGTATTGATTCAAGATTATGACAACTTTGAAGGAATACTGGCAGGAAGATTACCTGTTGTCACAGTATTTATACACAAAGCCAGCACGTGCAAGTTTCAAATCAGTTGCACGTGTAAATTGACTTGATTGAGACTAAACTTAAAAGGTTGTTATGGTTACAAGGATCTCGACTGCTGTTGATCATCGGTTGGTCTTTTTAGACCTGGGAACTTTGAAGTTCCCTTGTTAGATACAGAGAAGTGAAAGGTCGGTTTAGTCATTTTGTGCCCCTGGAAGCCTAGTGCTGAATCCATTTTAAAAGGGGAGAAGGGGTCAGTTCAAAGCTTTTAATAAAACATACAAAAACTGTAGAGACAGTTTAACGCAAATTAATTAGGATACTTCAAAATGTTTCCATTTTTGAGAATAGTTTGTCACGTTATTTTCTATTGCTAGTTTTCATAGATATTATTTGTTTCAAGTCTACACCGTTTCAGTAGCCACTGCGACGCACGCGCAAAAATATTGCAAACATTGTAGAAATTATTGAGTAAAAAACTATATTTTTTGACAGCACGACCGAAGTATGGTGTTGTACGAACAAAACATGGGAATGTATGACCAAAGTATGGATTGGGTCTTGAAAATTATTGAAGAAAGAACCCAAACAGATTCTTACTCCACACTAGTTGATAAACATCTGGATTTTAAAATAGGGACGAGCGTCGAGCATCAACCAACGGACTGACTTACAGAGTGACAGTGCAGACAGACTAACCACTAACATCGCAATAATAACAAACACTATTTCTCACTTTTTCTTTCTCTCAGTACCAGCCACAGTACGCACCACAGCACCAGCAACCGCCTCCCCCTCCTCCTCAACAACAAAACTACTACGGAACACAGCCTCCTACTGCCACGCCTCCCTCCTCCCAGCCTGCTTACTACCCGCAGGGCCCCACCGCAGTTAGACCCGGCAACATGAGCGCCACTGGAGCAGGATTCCAAGGCTACCCTGCTCAACCCTACCCCAATCCTGGATATCCCAGCTATTGAAGTAGTGGTATCAGCTGCCAACGGAGGTGAACGTTCGTAAGGGACCGTAAATGCTCGTTACACTAGCATTACTCAAAATCAACGGTAGCAGACAAATGAAATGTTTCGACGAACGTACGTGGAGTGTCTTTTGGTACAGTGATTTTCTAGCTTCGATGTAGATAGAAATTATATTTGTTTATATAAGGATCATTTTTGGTCCAAATCTTTGCTGTTGCAAGCGGCCAAGTGAGGAATTGTTATCATTGGCTAGAAGAAAAAAAATGAAGTTTCCATTAAACACGGTCATTAAAATAGATATTTGGATCCCTCCAAGTTATAGTAATTGTTCATAAGTTGTTGAAAAAACGTGTCCTTAATTAAGATAATCATGCAAGCTTGCCAGACATGGTGAATTTGTATATTACTATTAGTTCACAAATATTTTATTAATAAAGCCTAACAATTGCCTAAAATAGAACATTTTCCGAAATTGACCTTGTGACCTGATTACAACTGCAACTGCTCTAAATACTCAACTTGGGATTGTTTTTGATCAAATTTGTTCTTCAATTAATATGCTATTTGACCATCGCTGATTCATATTTTTTTTCGTAGAAAAATCGCCAGAGAGAAAGATTGTAGATGATAGCTTTAACTTGATTGTTTAACTTGATTCAACTTTATGTTTATAAAAACTTATAAATATGTGAACGAGATTCATTCTTATTTTATATATTTGCATCGTCGTGAGAGATGACGGATTTTTCTTAAGAAGTTTTCAGTGCGAAATTTACTGAAAAATTGACATTATTATTTTGTTGGGACCTTTTAAATTAAGTTCATCTGCGAGTTTTAGTCCTCGAGAATTTTTGCCTCAGAAAAATTTAAAACCTACCGAAATTGCCTATGTTTATTTAGAGAATTAAAAAACTTGAATTTTGTAAAACATGATCTGCCTGGTATAACTTGTTGACAAAATAAATACAGTGCAGAACTTCTTAAATAAGGTAAATATTCATAAATATTGACTTAACTCTTCATAAATAGACTTAAACACATTTGTCTTCAAAAGATAAAAAATAGACCTGGGCACGAGATTTTGAGACACGAAGTTCAAGTACTGTAGCACAACGTCCTGAAGCTACAAATCTGGGGCACGAGGTTCTGGGGCATGAGGTTCTGGGGCAGGTAGAAATCCTATACCCGATGCAGTTAAAACCTATATAGTGGTGACGTCAAGCCAAGGTGTGTATATTGTTTTTAAGATTTCACTTACTTCAAAGTATAGTATAGAATTAAGAGAAATCACGTATTTTACTGTCTAGACTTTCTATGTTCTACGACAGAGTTGTTTAAAGCAAAATAATGCATCTAAATATCCTAAAATAAAAACGTATATCAACAAGCACCTTTGTCCTTTTCGGTGATCACTGATCAATGTATTAAAACAGATAATCCTTACAATATATAATAGATCCTTCGTGAAGTCCTTTCATTGGTCAAACTCCTTCTGTACAGAATAATATTAAATCTACTTACAACAAATAATTCTAGATCATATTATGATACAACATTTCAAATCGTCGTCTCAGTCTGTACAAAGATACAAAACAGAACAGATCGTCTCGTTTCTCTCACCACCATCTCTTTAATCCAGTCGTGTCCATCAGTGCAGAATATTAGTATTAGGTAGAGGCCAGGTTGGCTTTGTGTCCAGGCAGAGTGTTCACACGGAGGGGTAAACCAACTGTACTTTATTAATCGGGATGAAAATACCGCGTTTAGGCTTGCATTTGAAGTAGGTGTGGTTTTGATAGGTGCCATCGTGATTTCCTGTGTTTGTGTTAAGCTCTATACCCAGATATTGACCATCCTTGCCGACCAATCGTCCCGCGTATCGAACTGTGCCCCGTTCGAGGTCAGTCCCTCTCTTGAACACCACTCGACATCCCAGTTGTACTTCGTTTACTGAAATGCAGGTTTTGTATTTTGGGACAATAATTGGGTATCCCTGAACTTGGGTTATAGTCGTTAAATTCTAAATTTGTATTCCCGCAGATTTGTCTGGCTGCCACCCAAGACATATTCAAATGCCAGAAGCAAATAAAACTTACTGTTTTGGGGTGGTTGGGTGGCCCTGGGTTCGGCCTTTTCCGCTTCATCATCACTATCTCGCATTCTTACTCTGTTACTGAAAACATTCGGCCATGAAATTACTTTTACTGAAAAGAATTCAACTTCAAGTCTAACGTCAGGTCGTTCATGATGTATGAAGTCAGTCATTCACAGTTGGCCGTTGGGTGATATTCCCAAATTCAACAACCAATATGTACCTGGTGGCATTATTCTTCTCCGGTAGGGCGTAAGACTTGCCACTGTAGGAGTATCTCGTGGCGGGATCATACTTCCTTGTGCCACCACCAGATCTCATATAATCCATCTGATCTGATCCGTACCCGTTGGTAGAAGTGTATCCGATGTTGGGGCTCGCTCCTGAGCCTGAGTTTCAATGTTTTAGTTCTATTGAAGTAATGGAGTAGTCCGACAAAACAATTTGATTAGAATGTTTATGAATTATACGGACAATATTAAATGATATAGGATTTGTTATCTAATCTACGAATTGTAATCTAAGTACTGCACCTCCGTTGTATCCGGTGACGGCACCGTCGTAGTTGGTCTCTGGAACCTGCTGACGTAACCAGGCTGTCGAGTTCCATGGTTTAGCGTCGTTATTGTTCAAATTGGGCTCCAAGTTGTTGTTCTCCTCCACTCCACTAGACCACTTCTTCTCACTGATTTTCCTTTTGTCAGAGCTGTTATCGGCAGATTCAGCCTTGATTCTATCGTACACACTGGATAAGTTGTTGAACGGTTTGGGCTTGTTGTTTTCGTCAGAAACTGTGTTTTCTGCGCTCAGGTCGAGTTTCTTGTACTTCTCCACGATAGCCAGTGCCTCTCGATATGTGTCGTCTTCTTCAGCAGCAGCTGCTGAAAAGAGGTGAAACTGTATAACAGCACACTTTCATCACAGGATATATAAAGATGTCATGATATTTGATAATCTACATTTACCAATTAATATTCCCGCGAAATGATAAAATTAGTAACCTGATGGTTTGGAGTAGGAGGTTGGTTTTGAGTACTTGCTCTCAAACGGCAGGTTATTCTCGGCTGGGAGCTTCCCATCGAACTCAGACTCGCTAATTTTCGTCCTTCTGGTGCTCTCCACCGCGTGATCTGACTGTCTGTCCTTCATGTACGAGTCTGTCTTGCGGTGCAGCTGATCTGATGAATGCTCCGGAACACGAGTTGAAGACAGGAACTCTGATTTACGGTTCTGATCAGTCATGTTGAGGGGTGCAGATTTCCTTGTGTAAGGTGTGGATGCCATCAGATCTTCGTCGTCTACAAAGAAGAATAAATGTTGATTGTTAAGGATGCGACAAGAATCAATCTTATTCTATTAGTTTGGGCATTTAATTAAGATTAAGTCAATAAATATCTAGAAAACTAGTAAAGATAAGACGAAGATAACTCACTGAAATTAAGCTGACCAGGAACAGTTGGTTTGTAAGTTGTGTCCTCTGTTTTAGCAATTAGAGGATGCTGCCTCGCCTGTCTTCTATTCAGGTAGGCCAACTGAACAAGTGGGGTGTACGTTAGATAATGGCTAAAGAACAAGATTTTATTGGATGTAAATACAGATTACAGGGGACACAAATATAAATCACCGCATTAAAGAATGAGGCTCCCAAGCGAAATACTCACATCATCATCTTCCTCCCTCTTCTTCCATTTCTTTTCCTCCTCCTCCGCGTCTCTTTTCCTCTTGTATTCCAACTCTATCTCCAGGGAAGAAACTTTGTTCTTCAACTTCTCTATCATCTGATGGAGACGAGATGTCGCTCGTTCAGTGTGCTGCTCAAAAATCAGCGATAATCATCAGCAATAATCAGCAGATCCCATATTTGGTTTTGATATTAAGCGATAATCTACAGCGATAAGCAAAAGACCCTTTTTTAAGATTCGTTACACTTTATATTGCTTTTAACTAAACACAGCCGATAACAATCATGGATTTAAAGCTTTTGAATTTTATTCATATCTAAACCAATACAGCTATCAATAAATAATGATCTAGCATTCCTACATTCCGCCACTCACTTTCTCAAACTCTGAAGTTTGAAGGGAGAGCTGGTTGTTCTGACGTGTTAGCTCCTCGTTCTCAATCGTCAGTCTCTCCACCAGACCCCGCATGTTGTCCGCTGATTGGGACAACTTCTCTGCTTCCCCCAGCTCCCGTCCTTGTGCCAGGTACTTGCTGTGAAGCTCCGAAATCTGGGACGGAAAATTTTGAAATCTTTAATTATGAAACGGCCAAGAGTGAGGTTTGTGAGGTATGTGCCATTGTATCATGTGATCTTCGAATAGTAATACTTGATCACAATAATTTTTTTGCAATCGTTTCCAACAAGTTGTCAGGTACCTCAGCCTCGAGTTTTTCTGTTGTTTTCTTCATCTCACTGTTCATACTCTCGTTTGTGGTTCTCAATGTGTCCCTAGTTTCCCTCAGTTGAGCAATCTTCTCTTTTCCTCGCAGCAATTCCTCCTCAAACTTCATCTTGTCTGCTAAACATTCCTCTGCCTGTAACCAGGACACAAAATTAACAAACAATTTTCTAAAGAGTGTGACCAATGGCATTCATTTTCGCGCAAAATCTCAAAAGAATTAAAGTTATCAGTCGACGATGAAATTCAAAGTTTATTAATTCGTCGGAAGCTCACCCTTTGCTCAGCCTCAGCAAGTTGCCGATGTAACTTATCTATCTGTCCTTTCTTCCAGTCCTCAACCGGATCTTGTCTTGTGTTCCCTATTTTCTTGTTATAGTTCTGCTCCTGCCGTAACATTGTCTTACGAAGCTCGCTCAGTTCCTGTTTTAGCTCGTTGTTTTCTCGTTTGACGATCTCTGCTTCGGTTTGTGGCCCGAGTGGTCCGTCAATTACCTGTAGTGGTCGTCAATTAGCTAAATTAGCATCGTATCGAGATGAAATAATGTAGATTGAGGAAACAGTCTGACTTCTGATCCGGCATTTGGGTTTAGCTGAAGACAGACGGTGTAAATAATCCCCGCGATTAATTAAATATGCAACTGACCTTTGATAGGGTGTTCAGTTCTTTTGCTTGTTTCCTATTTTCTATTCTCAGTTTACTTATCTCTGCCTTTAGATCTTGAACCTCTTTCTCCTGAAACAGACAAATTTTATGTTTACCAGCAGAAATTTGGTTTGCAGGACGATTACAGCATTTAGCGACCAAATTGCACGAACCAAAGATCACGCAGTGTAACAGTTCGTCTCCTGGTGGAGAATGTATTTCTACACAGTCTAGATCTACGTGTTTTGTTGTGAAACAAAACACTATATAAATTAATAATCACTAATCAAATTAACGAACTTTTCACTTAATCAGAGCTTATAGAAACATGTGTTCATAATCGACGCCAAAAGACGGGTATTTATAAAATGAATTTGCATGCATTCTCCGAAGTTGGAAAATTGCCAATAAAATCAAGAACATTGTGCGGTACTGTTCCTGTGCGGTACTGTTCCTGTGCGGTACTGTTCCTGTGCGATAAAATGGTGATGTGATAAAATCTGACTTACAAGCTTAGCTACGAGCCAACTATTTCGTGCTTTCATAACAAGTGCTGTACAAATTGCTGGAATAGCGACAAAAATAAAACTATTTACTAGAACATGAGCCATTTTAGAGTGTACTAAACACGCATTGAGCAACATCATGCAGGATAGAGATCTTGTCTTTTGTCAAGTAGAGTTCGGAGATATATCGAATAAGAAGGTGACTCTGATTACGTCGTCGTCAATACTTGACAAAATAATCAATATCAAGGCCCCTATGGGACTAAAATTGTGTATACATGAGGTAAGAATTTCTGCTGAGAAAAGTTAATCTAACTATAACTTTGGTATGCAATTTATGAGGAGTGATGCCTGATGGGACAAAATAGTAATCTACGGCGTATGTAATCGTTTACACAGAGATCTAAACGATTAGATGGCGTCGTTCGGTCGTTGACTTTACTGTGGTGACCACCCTATATACAAGACTGTTTTATCATATAACTTACTAAAATTAATGTAGACGATCGATCAAAATGTTCAATATTGCTATTCCATGTACTTGAAGGGCACTGACAAGATCACGACGATAATGGTAAGCAGAAGTGATACCTGTCTACAGGCAAAGTCTGTGTGAGCTATTTAGCTGACAATGGGTGTATACAGCCGGCTTATCGGGGACTCGTTGCTATGGAAATAAACACTAAATAAAGCTTTTTAAAATTGCAGAAAACTTACTTTAGCACGGAACATAGCATAGTAATACATCTCCAACTATATGTACTAAATATACTATGATGACCTCGAACATTTGAGAGACAAATCGTAGTTAAAATGAAAAATGATATGGGAGTACTCAGTACCGTTCGATAGTTAGAGCCCAAAGAGTGCATGTCCAGGCTAATGTGTGATGTAATTTGGGTCGCAAGGTTGCAATACATTAAATGGGATTAAATCATCTTATCTGTTATGAAATTCAAAAAGAGATTCGCGCTCATAACAACGGTCCGTGCATGCAATCCAGTGGAACGAGCACATGTTTAATGATATCACGTGGTAGAGGCAGCGCTTGGACAGTTTGTTTTCATCATCCAAACTGAGCGCGGTGTTCGCGCGCGCCGTCCAAGATGTTGCATTATCACGTTGGGCTATGTTTAGAATTGTCCGGGCCACCATCACGTTTTTGACTGAAGGGCGTTTAAGAGGTCTGTCGTCGGACAGATAGTCGTTTGTGTTGCATGATAGACAGAACAGTTGACCTCAATATAAAGGAGAACGACATCATAAATTACAGCTTTGAACCAATGTATGCACTGTCTAAAATAATTAAATCATGCAGAGGATACATTTAAGTTATGCTAACAAAAGCGTTTATATACGAAGACGATACAATGTGTCGGACGCATTCCTTGCTTTAGTTAGCGTTTTAAGGATCGTGTAACTCAAGTCATTAGCCTTGGGATATACGGGTATTTTACCCTTTAAATCTTTAAGTTTACCATATTCACTATCCTGCTATTCCACTCCTGGCTCCTTACCTATACTTACCTTTACTAACTTATACTTACCTATACTTACCTATAATTACCTATGCTTACCTACACTTACCTACTAGCCTACACTAGCCTATACTAGCCAATGTACACTGAACATGATAAGCATTATAATTAGATTACAGCATGATTTAGGTAATCACTACTTACCCAGAAATTCAACATCATGAATAATCACCTATACTGCTACAGGTACTACAACAATTTGAAAAGTAACGCAAAATATTAAAAACTTGTTAAGTTATCAGCTATGATTCACCGCCTCCTTAAGGATACAAGGCCACGGAGAACAACTCTAATAGAAAATAGAGTCTCAACAAATGACCTCCAGATGGAGAAATTGGAGGACGTACACAACACTGTTTTATAAAAGCGATGGCTGCCAAACCAACCTAAACAACCTTAGTAAGTACAAAACGGCATTTTCACCAAAGATCGAATACTGGGCTTAGATAATTCATTCCATGTGGTCACATACATTTACAATTAATCGACCACAGACTATAGACATTGGAAAAGATCTTAACTTATATTATATCTAGTTAAGAACAGATGCTGAAATAGATTTTATACCCCAAACTTATACCAAATTAATAGGTCATTTCTCCCAACACAGAGTTGGTTTCAAGCCAATAGGCTGCAGCAAAAATGCAGTTGAAGTCCACTTAACGGCTAGACTGATGGGCAATGGATGGAATTAAACTGAAGATTGTAGACTGTGAGGAGAGTTAAATAAGTTATCATAAAGTTGGCCAGAAATGAAACAGACCCTTAACGGTCAAATTGGGTGGACGAACCGTAGCTGCAGTCAAATAACATGGCGAATTTAGAGCAACCCAGCCGTACAATCGATTTAAATTCTTAATTTAGACAGAAGCCCACATCTGAGTCTGGGTTAAATATGTCTTCAGTTTGAGCACCATAACAGTAATACTCCATAATCACAACATATTCAACATATTCAACATAATACGTATATTCAACATAACAGCACCATAATCACAACATATTCAGAATTAAATCAGAAATAAAAAGCATCCTTTCTAAGGAGCACAGTACCTTGATCATCCTATCTAGTGTATCTTTATGCATCTGTAATGCAGGGTCCTTGGAGCTCAAAGAGATACGAATCTACACTCAACAAAACAACTTTGCAGGTAAATGAAATGACAAAGAGTATAGAGGTAAGTAACATGATAGGAGGCCACATTATCAACCTTAGATCTACAACAAGAAGAAGTCATTAGTATTGCTGTAATTAGTGGTTAGGTAGAGTCTTAAACTTGGCAGAGGAAGAACTAGATAAGCTGCAGATAGCATACTTGAACATGTTTTAATGTTTAATGGTCCAATTGACTTTCTTATAACGCTATTTTTAAGGCAATTTGTGAAACGATTAAAGGGTTTCAAACGTGGAAATCAAATGCACGACATATACATCTTGTGAAGATGATATGTATGCGGTTTATGTAATGATAACAACGTTTGTGGCTTGTTCCTCGTGCTTGACCGTGAATGAATGGTGAATAGTGATGCTTTAACCTTTTAACGTTAATAACTTGAGTCATACAACAACACAGTGGATGAAATGACAACTTAACTGCATCACCAAAATATATATATAAAGATCTAACTAGGTCTAAAAGCAAAGCTATCATGTTGGTCACAGGTCACAGCTGAGTGAAGATAGCGGTTTTAGGGCGTGATATAACGTACCTCAATCTCGTCTAGTACCATCGTGTAGGGAGACAAAGTAAATGCGCAAAGAGAACGGGATTGCTGAATGAAAGTATAAGTTTGCAAGGAAGTACACTGAGGGGGACGGCATCAGATTTCCAAGCTTTTAATTGGCTGTACACCACAACGTGACCAGAAGACCAGCCCCTGATTGGGTAACAGCCCTGGATAATTACTGACATTGTACCAAGTTCAGCTCATTAGGGGGCTGCGGGGCCCTGAATAATACTGCAGCAGATTATGCCCCTAAGTGGTCCCCTCAGCCAATGGAAAAGGAGAAAACATATCACATGACTGGTGATTACCTGCTCGCATCTGGTTTCCGTGACCGGCTGCCAGCAGAACTGAAGTATCCTAGTACCACTACAAGGTCTACTTTACGGTCCTACTGTATGATAATAATATAGTTTAGTGGCAGTTGTACACAACTAAAGACATATAAGTTATTCATAGTGTCTTCAATCTTTACTCCCTCCGCGGAATTTCAAGAAATTGGAATCAATATTCTCATGTTATGTTGGGAGGGAAGCGTGCTATTTAAGTGTCTATTATCCGGGAGTCCGAGCTCAGAAGATCATGCCCGACAAGATATATATTCAGTCTGCTAAGTATTGAAGTCAATTAAATATTAGGAGGTGTACCACGTGTTACTGAATGTATGTCACTTCCTCCTTGTAACATTAGTTTCAATGCACTCTATTATCTATGACGATTGATGTGACGCATTTCATATGACGATACAGCCTAGCATTGACGACTAAGGCGCGTAATATGACCGTCAATGAGACTATTAATAGCTGTAGAGTGACGCCTCCCCTGCGTAAGTACTGAATCCTTCGTCTAGCACATACAATACATCGTACTACAGTAATGGAGGGAGGGATACTTAGATAACATTAAAGAATATCACCCAAAAGGGAATAGATACCCCTCGGAAATAATAAACGACAGCTCAAATCTCCATCTAAAATCCATACTCGACTTAAACATTGGAGTATTTTCTTCTCAGTTATGTCCACTCACTCTTTTATTCTTCTTTTCTCTGATAGTTCCCAGTTTTACCCGGGAAGAAACCCACTTTCTCTTTACCCAACGATGAGCAGCAAACATTTTACAGAAGCGGTAATGAAATTCAAACGCAGATCTAAAGAAACGGTATATTTTTTGAAGGAAAAGTGAACATTCCTAACAACAATCACGTCAGAATGGTAGCAAGCATGAAGAAAGTATGTTTAGATCATGTCAATCAAACTCAGACTGAGGAGGTAGACAGTGCTATAGAAATCAGCGGATGTTAGCAACAAACTTAGCAGGGCTAACTTGATGTCAGCAGGGCTAACTTGATGTTAGCCGTCACACAGCCTGTTAAATGCTTGAAAGTAGCTGCTTTAAAACTTACCATTCTCACGCAATGAGAGGTAGCGTTGAGGGAGCTGGTATCAAACATACAAACTGAAATATTTACATATTTCAAACTCTATTGAAACTATGCTGGCGCTGGCATGGGGTGCACCCCTTAAGTAATAAGTCAAAAACAATTAAATATTCAAACAATGTCAACTATCAAAGTCAAAAGTAATATGTAAACAAGTAAACTAGAACGCTGTAAAGAAAGGCACACGGAGTAAGGAAGTTGCGGCGGGCACAGAGAATTATCGTGCATATAACAATTTAAAAGATCCCCATTTATGATTTAAGTTGCCGCCACGACAAGCCATTATGGGTCTGTTACCATGGCAACCGTTTAAGATGCTGCTTGTTGATTTTTGAGTGGTTCAGGGATTGTGATCTGGACGGAAAATTTAGGGGACTAAATTAATAGGCTATCGCACCAGTGATTAAGTAATTAACCAACTAAAAGCAATTATAAGCAATTGTGTGGTAACTCTAGTGGTAATTATAGTGTGTAGTAGTTGGGTAAAAGCAAAACAGTTCAATAAGAAGCAACATGTGAATCGTTAAGTAAGTAATTAAAATGATGACGGAAGCACGGCGCGTTATATCATTACAAAGTTTAAACTCACGGTAAATGTCTCATGTAAGAGGCTGGAAGGTTGGAAATAGTGGGTTTGGAGATATTATAGCAAGAAGAGCTGACAACTAAAGCAAGATGAGCTCAACAAATCCGTCATAGTACGAGAGCGAACGTTTCGATTAGTACTATACCGCGATTAAAGCAAAATACAGACTCTTCGCCCAATGCAGACTTACCCTCTCAGCCTCCTACCTTATATTTAGATTTAATTACAGGTTGTAATTCTTACAAAATTTCGCCATTTGAATGAGTTTGGCAAGTTGACATTTTGACGGAGGAGGAAGGGGACACCTACGAAATCATGTCACATACATACCAAACACATACTTACAAAAGCTAACCAAATATCACCGGGGCCCGAGGGTTTGATAGGGTTGCAGAGGTTTAATAAGTAGTAAGTAGTCACTGATCATGCCTATATTAATCTGGTATTAACCCTAGAATGTAATAATATGCTCATATGCTATTTAATATGAAATTTGGTGGGAGTTGAACATATTCTTCAGAATATGTAAATTGGTAGCAAAAATGATTACTTAAACGAAACCTAGTGAGCAGTGAGTTAAAGAGGTTGGTAACTCACCAAGTCAGGGATAGTTGGCGGGATGATTTAACATGACAAACCTAGGAATGTATCTAGCGGAAAATTCATACAAAACACGATATTAACGATTACAGAAACGATATCGATAGTACAATAACGATAACCCTGAACAACGATTAATCCAACTGTATTCGTAGCTGCTGTATATTTATTCTGCATCAGTCATCAGATATCTCAACTTCAAGTGACAACAAAAGATAATGACCGAACCTGAAGTACAGTGTTGTCGTTAACAAGAGTGCAGTCCAGTACTTTAGCACTGTTAGTCGCCGGGCTACTGGTAGCAGCACTACTGGTACTCGATATTGTATCCTGTATGAGATAGAGGTTTATTAACAATAACCACTGTATCTATGCAGTTACTGTTATAACGGTAATATCCTGTAATATTGGTAACATTTATTAACTTTCTGTCTATATTGATACATATATCATATACCTTAAGAACGACAAATTTAGTCTACCATAAATTTAGTCAAACTTTTTACTAAAATTGTTGTAAACCAAATTTCATGAGACTAAATTTTTCGGCGACTAATTTTAAAGGAGACAAAAATTTCAGTAGAGCACATATGACAAGAATATTGAATATTATTAAGCTTACATTTTTTATGGGGCTTTATAATTAATATAATGACATCACCGTACTGCACAAAGCCGTACCAAAGTTCTATAGCACTTAAAGGGTTAGAGCTCCTCTTTGAAATTAAATTTTTAATCGATCGATCCCAATGCATGCTCTGTTGAAACGGCTGAAGGATCATATCGATATAAACTACGCTTAGTTCTGAAGAATCAGCTATTCCAAAGTTTGATGAGAACTCCTTCAGATCATTAGTTTCAGCATAGCAGACTATGAAGTTCTGAAACAGAATCTGGATGAAGAGGAGTGGCCTATGATGCGAAATCTTTGTTCATTTGAAGAATTCCCCGCAATCTTTACTGATACCTTGTTTCATATTTGCCAGTCATGACTCATGTGTCCCCCAGAAGAGAGTCCCGTCAGGTCGCCCAAAGCATGTCAATGCATTAAGACGGAAGAAAGCACGTCTTAAAACACGTCTGGATGCACTCTTAGCTATGAACGGGAACCCAGTTCACATTAGGAATGTTAAAGACAAGCTTGCTCTCATATGCTATGATATAAAAGATGCATTCCTCAACGAATTTGATAAAAAGGAAGATAACGCAACTACTAACTGACGAAGATTTTGTTATTTCTGATGAAGACATCATATCGGCTATTTCTGCAATCTCGCCCGATTCGGGTTGTGGACCAGATGGAGTGCCAGTTTGTCTTCTCAAGACATGTGCTCAAGAACTGTGCTAACCCATTAAACTTATCTGGACCGAATCATACACCCTGGGACTTGTACCCAAATTCTATAAGGAGACACACATTTCTCCTCTCTACAAAAAGGGAAACCGGGCACATGCAGTGAACTACCGTCCCGTTGCCCTCACCTCACACATCATCAAGATCTATGAGCGCATTCTACGGAGCACCATGGTCAAGTACTTGGATGAAAATTAAATTTTGTGTGATAATCAACATGGATTTCGTTCGGGAAGGAGCTGTTTGACTCAGCTTCTTAGCCACTTCGACGACATCATGAGAGGCCTTCTGAGTGGGTCAGATACCGATGCAATATATCTAGACTTTGCGAAGGCCTTCGACAAGGTGGATCATCGTCTTCTCATTGAAAAATTGCAAAAGTACGGATTTAACGAAAGGATTCTTAAGTGGCTGGAGTCGTTTCTGTCGGACCGTAATCGACATGTTGTTCTCAACGGGGTGTCTTCCTTCGCGGCCTTGGTAATCAGTGGAGTCCCCCAAGGAACCGTTCTTTGACCCCTCCTTTTTATACTCTTCATAAATGACATGAAGCTTTGTGTGGCTGGTTCAATTATAAGATTCTTTGCTGATGACACTCGTATACTGAAGCACATATATACAGAACAGGATGTTATGGTTCTTCAGCAAGATCTCGACCATGTCATTGCATGGGCCAAACGTAATAACATGGCTTTACATGAGGATAAGTTTGAGCTCCTAGTTCACCGGGGGAATCCTAATGAGAGTCTGTATGAGCTGCCTTTTGTATGTCAAACACAAACATACAAGGTTTCAGGCGGTAATATACTCTATCCTACAGACCAAGTTAAGGATCTTGGAGTTATAGTGTCTTCTGATATGTCGTGGTCACATCATGTCAGTTCTGTGAAATTTCGAGCTAAAAAAGTTGCAGCATGGGTGCTCAGTGCGTTTAAGTGCAGAAATAGAATCACAATGTTGACACTTTACAAGTCACTTATCCGAAGTCATTTAGAGTACTGCTGCGCTCTGTGGAATACCAGTAAAATCTCAGACGTCCAACAGATTGAAGGAGTACAGCGTACTTTCACCTCAAGGATTTGGGGTGTTCAACATCTTGACTATTGGCAGCGGCTCAAAGCACTAAATTTAAATGTCGATGCAAAGGAGAAGAGAGCGTTATATTATCATCCACATGTGGAAAATCTTATATCAACGCTGCCCAAATGACCTTGGGATTCTTTTTTCTACTCCATCAAGACACGGAATCAAGGCCACCATTCCAAGTCTCAGCAAGAGCAGCACTCTACGTCAACAGTCATTGTATGATGGTTCATTTGCAGTAATGGGCCCACGTTTATGGAACACCATTCCATCAGAACTTCACCTCATTGAAGACCCACTACTGTTCAAAGCAAAACTATCAGCATTTCTTAAACCGTTTCCAGATAACCCACTTGTGAGCAATTACAGCTGTCCTAATGGAAATTCTTTGCTGGACTGGAGTATGAATAAGGCAGCAGCGATGCTGCAAGGGCGGTCGAACTATTCGATGACTCAGTAGAAAAATCTATGAATCTCTCTAAAGTAAGTAAGTGGAAAAGTATTTTCAAGTGGTATTGTAGTGTGTATGCGAGGATGCGGCTGACTTTACAGGTGTCTATAACATCAGCAGAGACGCAGTAAAACAGTTAGCTCTAAAAGGAGTGGAATGGAGCTTTGTAGTATGTATGTAGCAAAAAACCTCAATACTCTTTCTAGAGCATTTTAAGATTAAACTGTTGCTTGAGATTAAAGTTGAACAATGTTGAATATTATATAATAATATATAATACATAATATATTTATGTACATTTTTGGAAAAAGAAGGGGAGTGTTGAGTCACGAGAGTTCTCAGCTATACCCCTTTCAAAATAGAGGACAGAGGTGCTCCAGTTAGGGTTGCCATTATCGGTACAGCATTTTTTATCGCGATAATCGATAATTTTTTCAAAATTATCGCGATTATATCGGTTATCGGCGATTAATTTGTCAAGTAATATTTGTATACACTCTGCAAATTTGAATTATGCTCCTATGCTAAGAGTAAGATGTAACATTGCAACCTTTGTACTTAATTTCTTGCTAATATTTTATGATCTGTTGTTTTAATTGTATAAATGTGCCAACGGAGAACGCACTTTAAAGCACGAAAAAAAATGAACACACTTCACGCACTTTTCCCGAAAAAATGACGCACGAACCAACTATGGTCTTGAACGGTGCGAGAGTCTTGGTAATGTCTTTTGCTAACTCAGTGTCTCCTGCATCCAGCCTAGCTCCAAGTCATCTAAAATTCCGTGCACTGCATCAGTTATCCGATTATATCTCTCCAACATACTGCACACCGAGCACCAACGGGTTTTGTAGTCTCGTTGCAGTCTGAGTTCCTTTCCGTGCTTCAATAAACAACAATAACTACGTCTGACCATACAACCTCCAAGTTACTTACTAGATGCGATAACGCAAAATTTCAATCTTCACTGCCACAAATTCATACGCACATACCATCACACTGCAAATTATGCTAGCAGTAGCACTGGGTTTTAACTTTACAGACAGAGAAATAGATACAAAAAATGTGTTAAATTTTGGCCATTTTACCATAATAAAAATTGGTTGATTATCGCGATAATTCTCGAAAATTGTCGTGATAATCTATAACGATTTTTGGGAAATTTTCCTCGATAATATCGGTTAGTAACCCTAATCTTGATAGCTTTGAGCAACTTAAGTTCGTGACTTTCAAGTGTCGCAATACTATTACTATAATTACTACACTGGTGAATTTTGTAAATTCATTAAGTAAAACCTACAGGAGGATATGACAATTAGGGTTAAGTTTGACCCAATTTCCCGTGCTAACCAGGTTCTACCATGTACTGTGCCAGGAGCCGTTGGGATGCTTAATGTAAATATTTCACCCCGGGTTTGACCAGGTGACATTTAGATCCACTGCTTTAGTATCGGTTGTTATCTATCATACGTTCAATAATCACTGTTCTAACAGTGACCTGTTACTCTGGTCGGCACCTCTGCCGCATCTGCATGAGATCAAACGAGAAACTGAGAGGGTGCACGTAAACGCTAACAGGGTGCATAGGTGCATACTGCATAGTGAAGCAAATAAATAGTTGCCTGTTTAAATTCCTTCCCCATTTATCGTCTTAGTTGACAATTCCATTTTTAATCAATCTTCAGTCAGGACTTTAAACCAGGGGGAAGCGATCCATAATTGGCATCCGTACGGCAAATATTGAGTGGTGTGAAGCGTTTATACACACGTTCATCAAGTTATTCTGTTATACACAATTTTAAGCTTCTTTGTTAATAATAGCCTCGCGATGCTAAGGAGAATATTTCGACTAATGTTAAGGTTCGCTGAGACATATTGACGGGGCAAATTTTACATTTTCTTATTGTCCTGCTGGTTTGTTGACCAGCCTCATAGAGCTAGCTCCGTGAGGCTGGTGATCAGTAAACCTACAATTTATTGCATATTATTTACACATTCACCTAACCAGCTGACATGATGGGCATATTGATTATCATGACATAAATGTTATTTATAATGAATCTGGTTACTACATCAAAACCCCAATTTACCATGGAATTTGGACGTGTCACAGTTCAAATTTGAGTGAGCCACCCTGTCAGGCTGTCAATAGGTGTCTAGGAGCTAGTCGGCTCGTAAATGTAAAACCACCGGATATGACCGGTGCCAGGGTTTCTAATATTAAATAATGATCATAGTTCCATACCTCAGCTCTGGTAGCTATTCCCACGATAGAAATCCTATCTTGATTCAAGTCCGTGATGAATGGATTTCCAGTAGATTTCATTCGAAGTCGAATCATTTCGAGCTTATCTTGATAGCTTTGAGCTATTGTAAACCAAATTGCTCCTCTTCTCACTAACTATCGGACGATTTACGTACTAAAGATCGACAACTAAAGTTCGTGGAATTCGAGTGTTTCTATACTACTATACTAATGAACGTTATAAATTCGAGATCCTGGTGGAACCTACAGGTGGACATGACAAGGATTAAGTTTGACCCATTTTCCCGAGCTTAATTACTGTCAATAAACTAAATAATCACTTCTGCTTGAGCGAGCATGCTTTCTCTTTTACACAAAAACTCAGTTACATTCTTGAACGGTGCGAGAGTCTTGGTTATGTCTTTAGCTAACTCAGTCTCTCCTGCATCCAGCTTTAGATTGCCTAGCTCCAAGTCATCTAAAATTCTGTGCACTGCATCAGTTATCCGGTCATATCTCTCCAAAATACTGCACACTGAGCTCCAACAGGTTTTGTAGTCTCGTTGCAGTCTGAGTTCCTTTCCGTGCTTTAACAAACAACAATAACTACGTCTGACCATATGTTTGTTGTTTGTTTGTTTATAGAACCCGTCCCCAATCTCGTATCGGAAAATGACTAAACTCAGGTCGGAGTGTGAATACGGGTGGACCATATAACAACCTCCAAGTTACTTATTAGATGCGGTAACGCAACATTTCAATTTTCACTGCCACAAATTCATACACATTACATACTACACAGCACGTCAGCATACCATCAGTATCACACTGCAAATTATGCTAGCAATGGGTTTCAACTTTAGTTAATACAAACAGAGAAATAGATTCGAAAAATGTGCTAAATGTGGCCATTTTACCATAATAAAAATTGGTTGATTATCGCGATAATTATCGAAAATTATCGCGATAATCGATAACGGTTTTTGGGAAATTATCGCCGATAATTATCGGCCGGTAATATCGGTTGGCAACCCTAGCTCCAGTTTGCTAACATTCATTTCTACTCCAGGGACCTTGTGCCTCTGGGATGGTAACTAGTCTTCATTATTATAATTCGAAATTTTATCTTTGTATTTTACGACCAGTGGCACTGTAATTACATGGGGGGTCAATTGTCGGGGGTCAATTGTCGGGGGGGGGGGGGGGGGGGGGGGGGGGGGGGAGTCAATATTCTACTAAACCCTAGATTTCGCGGCAATTGACCCCAGTGTAATTACATAGGGGGTTAATTGTCGGGGGGTCAATTGTCGGGGGGTCAATTGTCGGGGGTCAATTGTCGGGGGTCAATTGTCGCGGTACCTGCAATAATTCCATATTATTCTTAGTTTGCTTTTAATGTGTATTGCTGGGTTATTTGGTATTTACAGTTCATCCCCTTTGCAAATTCAATAACAGCTTAATCTTAATCTACGAATCTCTCCAAAGTATCCAAAGTAAGTACGTCGTATGGAATAGAAAATGGTCTCGAAAAGTCGAAAAATGTGACTAAAATTGTTGTAGACTAAAAATTTGCGAATTTTGTGACTAAAATTATGGTAACTAAAATTATGGTGACCAAATTTATTGTGAACCAAATTTATTGGCCCTACGGTAGCTTATATTGGATTAAATAAACTTGTAACTTCATTAAACTTTACTGAATCAATATTCAATATATCAATGCTATATTTCAAACTTGAAGAAATCTCCCCAGCAACGGCATAAAAAACAAAAAATTGATGAAAAAGTGACCTTTCGTATGAACCAATAATTATTACAGATCGTAATTATGGAGTTGAAAACTTGCGATGTTTAGCAAAGTTGTAGGAAAAGGATATGCAGCTATTACAGCTTTATAGCTGAACAAAAATTACGGAAGAATTATTCTCCGTCCTGTAGAATCTGGAAATTTTCTCCAGAATTACGGGAAGCCATCTGTGTCTAGAAGGAGTTGATTTCTATTTGTCAGTCGATTAATTTGCTGAGAGAAATCAACATTAGATGCTTCCATCATCATTAGAGGCAACATGTAGGTGCGGTAGTGTAACTATATAAGGTTAAGTTGGGGGGGGGGGGGGGGGTGTTGTCTTTCACTGCAGAATTCCTAACAATTCAACACGTATAAATCTATAGAATAACACAGAAGGTTTACAATTAGGGCGGCGCTCGGCCTGTCACTCCGTGCCGCTATAACTGCATCTTACTATATATAAAGCGAGACGATATATATGTGTTTATCCGTGCCATTTTACTGACACCACGGCATCAACTTTAACGCGAATTTCCGCAAAAACCGTAAAAGATATACAACTGAAACCTTTTTTGACTGGGACTTTAATGGGCTTTAATGGCCTCCAAATAAGCACTAAAAAATAAAAAATTGGCCAAGAAATAGGAGTTTTAGAGCCCAAAATTTGGACCCCCAAGTGGTGTCAAAAACGCGAATTAAATAGTTAATAATTATTTTAGTCTCTGGAGATTTATATATAGTAAGATTACACACTATATTGTATCATGCGCACGTATCACATTCACATTACACCCCTTCCAATCGGAACCGGAAAATATTGTAATAAAATAAGCCATCACGGATCGGGAAATTGAGCGGCCATCAACAAAAGAAAAGCGGCCGCATTTCTTGTTGTATTTAATTTTCTCAAATATTGGGTTTCATTTTTGTAAAATAAGGAGATGAAAAAAATCCCCAAATACCATGATTTAATTTGGGGTACGAAATGTGGCGGTTTTCGATAAAAATTCCCATATTTTCGTTCCCAAATTATTTAGGTCACCGGAATTATGTCGAACATAAGTATATGGTAACTAAAATGACTTAATTTCAATCTGTTGAGACTTGAGGGATTGCGATCCAGCTTGACAAGTTATTAATTTTAAAAGATTCACCCTCTTTTGTTTCCAAAAATCAAATATCGATAGTATTAAAAGTAAATGCGTTATAAACTTGCTATCCGATAATAATGATGTGAACTTTCTGTATTATATGTTTTTCCTGATTTTTGAAAGTGATTTTACTTTCCGATATTTTGATACATACCGTATGTTACGTCATGAAAAACGTTTACAGATCCTAACTATAGTTACGGGTATGTTGATCTTATCTCATTGTTGCTTAACCAGCGATACCAAGTACATCGGCCGATGGTGCAGAAAAGTGCGGTATTAGCCACTAGGTGTATAGTGCGATTTTGCACCCACCGCGTCGCACTTATATGTTGCTTCTGTTCATCGTCTCTCCTCCTTAGTATTCTAACTGATCTCAACCCCTGAGCTGGATAACACGTGGGTATCTCGAGATTTGGGTGTAGTTGTCGTTTCTGGACTGATCGGATACACTGTTAAGCTCATTGGACAACTTGATGAGTGTGTGGAAGCTGGATCTTATTGGATATTTTATCTGAAGCTTTTGCAAAACCGCGCACAAAAAGTTTGCTAGTGAATTAAAAGTAAGATCCTGATTTGCTCCGTAATAATGTACACACTACACAGTTGTAGACAGTAGACATTGGCTGACAGATTTATTCATCGGAACTTGGCTCGTGCTGGACCGTGCAAGCTTGTCACCACAGCTTGCTACTGGCAAGCACACGATGCACAGTGAGCACACGATGCAATTGGACACAAAAGTGAGACATCGTGCAGTGCCAAGCTTGCACGTGTGTTTGGAATTTTGATTGAAAATAATTTGTTTTAAAAATTAAAAATGTGTAAAAATTTGAGGTTGGGAATGCTGAAGCACAAGCATGTAGACATGTAAAGATCTCGGAATATTATGAAAACATAAGCTCTAATTTTGCAATCCAAAGTTTTAAATTTGAGATTGTTCGGATACATACAGAAAATTGGCAGGCATCTCATCGAGTTTATCGTAGACGTAGTAAAAAATCTACATTTAATTCTAAGAGATTTGGTTGGGGAGGCGGGTTATCGTTGTGAAGTACTGTACTACTCACGAAGTACTGTACACGTTGTTTTCAACCCACGAGTCAGAGAGCAAGCTCAACTGACGGCTCCCAGATGAAGTATGCACATGTAGGTGAATCGGTCTGATCAAGTAGTTGGTTGGGCTGTGATTGTATCGACCATTTAGTACCAAGCAAGCAGATATTTGAATTGACTAGATTTCCACTGGTAAGCGATTCGGAAAATCATGGGCCGGCATAGTGCCGGGGCGGGTATGATCCGCCAACCTCCGAGTTACATGCCTGGTGCTCTACCAATTGAGCTACCGGCCCTACTACATTTAGTTCTAGTTGGGTTAGTGAAATCTAAATAAATGAATATCGTATAAGGTTCAAACAAAAATTTAAAAATAGCACTTAGTAAACAGGATACTAACATGTATTATAGTTGAGCTGTCTGCATGAAACCGTCTATGTCTACGTTTGCGACGAGGTCCCGTCTTATGATCAGGGTTCCCTGCTGCTTTATTAATACTGTCTTTACTACTTGTCCTGGACAAATGCGGGTATATTGGGAACTTGTAATTCACTTATAGGGGGCCGGGTTCTAAATTGGTCAAAATATTTTATAAATATTTTATTTTGATATTATCTGGTTATCTTGTTTTGCAGATTAAAATTGTTGCACCAAACTCTAAACTCTTCCTTTATTAATTTACCTCTCAGCCATGATGTGTCTCGTTTCTGTGACTTGACTAGAACTGGAATCTGATGATGGAAGCACGTGATCCTTTAAATCAGATGATAGTGTGATCATGTGATCTTGTTTAGGAGATCCCAGGCTACTCTGGTCGGACAATGTGCGCCTTCTCCTTCCTTTACTCTCTCCTAGGAGGATACAAATCAGTTATTAAGGGGGGGGGGGGGGGGGGGGGTTCACCCTGATTTTTTTTGTGAAACTTGGTTTCGAGATAGCAGTTGTCCAACAAACTAGGACCGGTGACCGAACTTTTGAGGGGGCCCCGGGCCCCAACCGCCAAACGGTGCCCGTGGGGCAGCCACGCCCATATTTGGTCCAAATTAGGCCCAATTTAGCCAAATACCCTGAAGATGCCCAAAACCCAGATTTTAGGTGCTCTACATGTAGCTAGTGACCATATTTGGGCATACGCACCAAATTTGATCGATTTTGGCCCATAAATTAGTCAAATATCAATAGTTTTGAATGAAACCAACTTTATATGGAAGGTAAGCTTATATTACACATTCTCTATGATTATCAGCTCAGTATTTACCTAACTGTGGATTCTGTGTTCAAATAACCGCAAACACATCCGCACCCTTCCGGCTCTTATATAATCACAAACATTAAATATTACAACGGCCATTTCATACCTTTTTACTTCGGTTGTCCTATTATATCCATACGATCGCCACGTAAAAAATAATATTACTGGATTTCATAGGTCAAAGGAATATCCCAGTTCACAAACTATACATTTCAGGACACTTTAGATGTTACCATTGAACTTGAAGAGCCGATGATTGAGATTCTGGGCTAACCCTAAGCCACTTACTTACACTAACTGTTCAGTGCACTGCTTCAAAACCTCAGGCAATATTCCTGGCACTGTCCGTGAATGTAAAACTAATAAAGTTCTTAGCTGACCCACAGCGACTTCTATCTCGTGGCAAATCACACATAGATTCTAAGAATCTACCTCGCGAGTTAAAACTTGAATCAGGAATGACAACTAGGATTTGCGCTGACTTTATAATATGTAAATTATATTATAGTACTACAAATGATAGATCCAGTTTCCTTTCAGTCAGCTTTTCATCTCACATTGCTGGGCCCAAGAAGGTTAAATTTCATAATAGTATAATATATTATATATATATCTCTTGTCGCTAATATATATTAATATAAAGGAAGTACAATTGTACTGCAATCTTATTGTTTAGGATTTTGAAGACGTCTCGATTTTATTTGCTTCAAAATTACGTGCGAACAGTTAAGGAATGATATGTATCTTATCACATTGTAGAATGTTGACCTCTATGTCTCTATATAATTAAATATCTGCAATTTACTTCCGTAAGCACTTTTTTGCCAGTTGTAGCTGTTGTTTCGGTCGTTTATTTTTACGATAGTTTGCTTGATTAAGACTGGAAGGGGCAGGGTAGCCATCTACATTAAATGCAAAAAGTGCACAGAATCTTAAACATTTTCACAATTTTTTCTCCTCGTTCTAATTTTTGGTTGCTACAAACATTTTAAACATAATCTTTCTTTATCAATTTCTATACGAGGAAATAACTTTGCCAGGGTTCGAGCAGGAATCCGGATTATGTTCTCAAAACTGGGTCTGATGGTACTGCTGGCAGTGTACCTCATGCCTCTTGCTATATCAGGCAGTTCGGTTAATACGCAATCCTTCTACGTCAAGGATTTACTCGACAGAGGTATGTGTTTAAATCGTTAAGATTACTAGATACAACTTAATTTTCCTTTTATTTATAACCTTAGTTGCTGGGATCAAACGTCAATTTTGTCATTTTCTTTATTCTTAGGTGCGTCGGCTTGAACTTCATACTGACAAATAATAACCATTAGATTAACCATTAGATGTTAACACAACTTCTAACATACACAGGTATAAGCAGGCTTTCTGGTGGGCCTGTTTGGAATGATGCCAGGAGTTGGCTATCTTTTCAACATGCTGTTTGACGTGCAACACTATCTCATCCATGAGAGAAAAGTCACCCTGTGGAAATACCAGGTCACTTTTGTGGCAGCTAACGTGGCACAGATGATGGGTAATTGTTACAATTAACAGAGTAGTTTGACAAGATAAACAAGATAGTTTTAAGGTGGATTCTTATCTTAAGAACACGTATCAAAAGACACTGGTTAAATATTAATCCATTAAGGCCACAGGGGGGCGGGGGGGGGGGGGGGGGGTCCGAGGTCGAAAAAACGTTTTTTGCCAGTTGGCAGACCACGTACTATCTGACGCTTGCACACCACCCTTAGCCCCCCAGAGCGCCTAGTTTGTCGTAAAATTGAGGTTAACTATTGCCTTTTTAATCAGTTAACCTCACAAATAACCAGTTCTTAACATTTTGTTGCTCTCATCACAAGTTAAACTTATCAATGGGTATCAATTGGCCATCCAATGTGAACAGAACTATTATATGTCCTTTATTTGTTGGAAAATTGAGGTTAACATATTTTCTCAGAATCAGTCTTTTGACTCTCCTGAACAATTTATTTACCACCTCAAAAACCTATCTTCTCCTAGAGCTTTTATCCTTTTCACCTCAAATTTGGAACTTATGTTCCTGACATAAATTTAAAAGTTTGTTATGTAACGATTGTTGTAATTTTGCTCCTAACTCTTTTTATGAGGTTAACCATTTTGAATTTTGTAACCCGCACTCATGGTTAACCTCATATCTCAGCTTTGGAGCAAGATATCATAAATCGTTACATAACAAAAACTCAAAATACCTTGAAGAACATTGTTGCCAAGTTACAAGGTTCTAAGTCATAAACTGAAAAAGAAGATAGATTTTGAACACAATTTCATTTAAAGTTTTCATGTACAATAGAATTACAGGTAAACCTCAAAATTCAACACGCGATATCTTCAAATAGGAAACTTTGTTTTCGGTAATGACAAAAGCATTTAAAAATTTAGATCGAGCTCTACAACATATCTCAAAATCTCAAAATTGATCTCGGACCCCCCCCCCCCCTGTGGCCTTAACAATTTCAATCTAAAAATCACACATCATTATTCATTATGGTATTTATAATTCCTTCCTGCAGTACAGGGATTGGTGGGGCTGATACCGGAGCAGTACAACTCATTAACAATCACCCTCCTACTAATCCTACGAGCTGTACAAGGTTACGTGGGTTTCCTGGCGTGTAAAGGTGTGGTGGAGGGCTGCAGAGTTTGGTTCCCTGACCATGTTAAACTTACTATAGGGCTCACCAACAGTGGTTATCATTCTGGGGGCTCCACTGCTATTCTTATTGGGGGAGTTCTGTATGATCACTTTGGATTTACCACTACTTTACCACTAAAGATACCCCCTGCTCATTGCAGGGGGTATCTTTCTTGTCCTGTTTTCGTACAAGCTTGTGGTTCTTCCAAAGAATTCCCTGCCAGTTTATGTTAACTCTAAAAATAAATCTTCTGATGAAACGGTTGAGAATAGTTTTGGAGACTTGGAAAATGAGATGAGCGGTGATCAAGTTGGTAGTGAGGATTTTGTTATAACCAACACAAATGTGGCAGATCCACCTAATTGTTGGGCAACAGAGAAAGCTGATATCACAACAACCCAGAACACCAACGAGGAGACTGAGCCTAAGGCCAAGGGGCTTTCTCCATTAATTATTATCCCCATTATTTCCTACAGCATTCTTGAGGCACTGGTTGGATTTACCTCAGCAATAACCACTCCATACCTTTTCGACACGTTTGAAGTGAGTATTTCTTAGGGTGGGACATATCTTTTTATCCTTTACGTGGCAAGGTTTGCAGGATCGATCGTATCCGGTTACTTCATCCAGAAAGGCTGGGCAACACCATTTCAGATCATGGCATTTTCAGCATTCCTCTCAGCAATCGGAGTTTTCATCCTCTTCCCCAACCCAAAGTTAACATTTCTGTATGATAACGTGGTTATCTTCGCTTACATTTCCACACTGCTCCAGGGCCTTTCAAATCAAATGTGCACATTAGCTGCCCTATTTGCCTTTGAGGAAGTCCAAGTAAAACTTGCGAGAAGGGAAATGAGCGCTTCCTCCAAATCAAAAGGTACGACAATTTGGTTATGTCTTTGGACGGCCTTTAACAGGGTTGGTCATTTGGTTGCCCTGTTGGCGATGGAGTACCTTACATACGAACAAGGAGGATACATGATGCTTGGTTTTTGTGTAGTCTCGTTTTGTACGAGTGCAGGCGTCGAGATTGCGATAAGGAAACAGAATAAGAACAATTAAAGGACAGTTTCAGTACACCTCCAAGTTCATTAATCGGGAAAACTGAATGTCTTCATAAAAGCTTGGACCAGTATTATACACATAATGGATACCATACGTGTGGAGGACTGGACATTGATGCACCGTGTTTGAGAATCACTCTCTCTCCGGCACTGGTTGTGGAACTTTTAGAGCTGTGTGTGGACCACGTGTCAAACTAACGACCTGGTCATTTATCTTGCCCATGAATCAGTGAATCGTAGAGAAGAAAACAATTTATATAAATAGAAGAAAACGAAAATAATAATAATATATATATATTATAATAATAATATAACTGGTTAATATTAATTAAAAAACAAACAAATGATGTCATCCTCTCGTCAACTGAAAAACTGTTGTATATGTACACGATATAAAAATGATTATTAGCGCTCTAGTATCATAATCAGTGCAGGTATAAAACAATTTGCTTGTTAGCAGTTCATGTAATTTAAATTCAAATTATAAAATCCCTGTAACATCCCTGGGCTTCATACCCTTCATAGGTCCTTGAGGCTTGAACGGATCCTGTTCCGGAAAACTGATAAAACTCATCGCTTCCTGGAGAGCGTGTAACAGTGGAGCGAGAGACATCAACTGAGTCGCTAAAGATTGATCGCTTCTCGTGTGCAGTGTGTAGACTAAAGAAAAAGGGAGTTTTTCCCGTTAAAGTAACTTGTGGCCACATCCCGCTAGAAGTGAGTAAACAGTGCCACTATTTCGTGGTCCACGGTGGATTGATTACTGGAGCATTTGAAGATGTAAAGCCAAGACGTTCTCCAATATCCCTCCAAAATCGAGGTGACCCTAATATATGGTAACTAATCTATATTATATCTCAAATTCT